GAATTTCAGCTGTAGATCCAGACTGCTTAGGTTCTAACTCCAAATCTACTGTTCTCAGACACTGAGGAGGGCTCTGCATCCATCAATATCAGTTTTCCTGATGAAAGAAAAGCAATATTAGGCATTTCCATGCAGGTCGTCTGTGCAGCATCACTAACAGATAAAGCTCAGTGACCAGAAGAAACAGCACTGGTCTCCTGTGTCTTAAAGTCTGAGCTCCTTGTCATGCGTTTCTATTTCAATTAATCTTCTGGAATATAAGAGGGAGTGGAATAACTGTGCATTTCCTTAGAAGAATGTCAGTCTTAGTTTGCTTCTTTGTGTTTTTCTGTGTCTTGATATAAAGCATACACACACACATTTGTGCACACATGCATGGAGTATTCTAGGTCTAATCTTTGTTTTCAGGTGAACTATGCACTTGGATTCACTTTTCTTTGTTTCTGAAAAGAATGGTTCCCTAAAATGAAATGTAATATTTATTAGAATTTTCTTATAAAACTTCTTACTTGGAAAACTTGTATTTCTTTTGTGGCTTGAGGGTGTTTACTATCTTTAACAATGAGAATTTTGCAGCCATTGAACATATACTTTACATCTGGATGCCACAAATCTTGAAAAAAAAAATACTGCTCAGTCAGGAAAATAGGTTGGAGATTTTGACCGTATTATCAATGTCTCCTTTTACTCTAGCTACCCCAACACTACCTTCACTCCACACTGCTGAGATACATTGTCACGTTTCATACACAAGTTAGCTGCTTAATCTGTTTATGGTTGCATTATTTTAGTGGTATCATTGCCTTGGTGAGGTTTTACAGAAAAGTTACAAAAATATATACATAATACTTATATTTTGTGAATCTCAGAGAATTTCGATACAAATTAAAATCAGATAGATATTCTTATTTGTAGGTAGGAGAATAGAAGAGAACTGAAAATAAATCGCTCCATGAGCTTTTTAGGAACGTGGACTCACAAGTGGACTCACAGTATTTGTCTGATGGATTTAGAACCTTGCAGATTTAGCCCTTCCCAAAGTGTTATACAATGAGTCATTAAGATTTCAGATAAAATTTAGTCATCTGCCATCATGTTCTCTTAATCTCCTTAATTTGATACAACCATAGGTTTACATGTCTTACAAGAAATTACAAGGCAGCTTGTGCATTAAAGACACGACAGTGTTGTGGTGTGGAAGCTCCCTGTGAGGTGAGTCTTGGGGAACAAGCAATCACAAGGAGTAACTCCAAGACCACAAATGAGGTTCATGGGACATGGGGACAGACCAAGCTCCAGCATTTCCGTAGACTATAAAACCTTGAAGGGCAAAAGTTCCACAATTGTTAGTAAAGTCAGAATGATAATATTAATTCTGTCACAATAAGTATAAAGCTCCAATGAGAAAAGGACCTATGAGAAGGCCAGTGTTCCCAGGGTGGTGTGTGAGTTTCCTCAGCAGGAAGAGATCTGGGTTTCTTCTTGGAGAATATCAGTCCCCTACTAGGCTCATCAGGCTCTGATTCGTCCACTTCCTGTTTAACAATTATACAGCCTCATTTGGTAATTGGGCCTTCACTTGCAACCTCATGCGTACAAAATGTGTTTTCTGCTCTGAAAACAGTCCCTTCAGAAATTTCATTAGGTCACAGAACGTCAGTCAAAGCAGTATTGAATTTTTACTGGATTCTCTGAAATAACCTTACTTTTATTTCTCAAGAGGTTTCAATTTCTCTGTTTAACATTGTCAAAAGGCTATCCTTGTAGGGATCATTTCTGTAGTATGTGTAACTTTGTTAAGTTAAAACTAAAATAATTTTCTATCTAAATTCCTTGTCTTACATGGATAAGATTCACAGACCTTTCTATGCGTAATATGAACACTGTGCTTGACCTAACCCAGCATCTGATCACTTAAAAAGCAGGACCAAAATTGTCACTATAGGTTGGAATATGAAATTCTTGTAGTTATTTTTGCTTACTATTTTTTGTAATCTTCACTCTCACACATTTTCTTTGCTGGCATTCCCAGATCCAAAGAGTTCTTGAACATGTAAATAATTGAAATCTTGTAATGAATGTCAAAAACTGTTTTGGAGAAAATTGTTTTATTTCCAAAATTTTTTTAAACCTAGGTATAACATTCCTAGGCTATATTGGTTTTTCTCTGTTGTATACGTAATAGAAAAAGGAAAATATATGATTAATCAAGTCACACATTTGCTAAGTGCTTTATAAGTGATTAATTCATTTAATCCTTACAATTAATTCTATAAGGCAAATTCTATTATCTTCATGTTTGACGAGAAAACTGACAAATGCAGAGGTCTGTTATATTGCCTGAGTTAATAAAACCTAAAAAAGTAAGGACGATTCTCAAGTCTTACGTTTGGCATATACCATTTGTTTTTCTTGGTCTACTAAAATGAGGACAAATATACAGAAGAGGTATGCACAACCTCAGAAGCTAGCATTTAGTTGCACATGTAGAAAAAAAGCAGTATTATGCATGCACAATTCTGCTTATTTATGACAGAAATTAATTCCCTCTGGGGGATGGGAACCATGAGAATCAGATATGCTTTTTGGTATTCTCACATTTTTCCTATTTAGTCACTGATTTCAAATAATATCTTTGCAAGGTAGATAAATCACCATATGATTTGACTCTGGCCTTCTCTGTCTTCCTTTGCTTGCCTTCAGCTGAATATGACCTGTGTATAGGAACCTCATTTTTCCTCAGATCCATGAAGGTCTCAAAATTCTGACTAAAAACTGGGATCAGTGTTTACTTGTGTTTCTGCTCAAGTAAATTGAGTTAGAGGAGTTTTCTTAATAACCTGTATCTATATCAATAGCGTCTTCCAAGAAAGAAACAAACTCAGAAACTAAAGATCATTGATGAATGTATACAAATGTGTCTCCATCTGGCCGCGAGACAGCGGTGCACGGCCCTCCACACCACAGGCTGGTCGTCTGCTAGCAGCTTCCTGCCAGCGGGGCTCACACATAGGAAAGCCAGCAGGTTATCTCAGCGAGCTCTGTGCAGAAACTTTCTTTCATCCCATTGATCAGGCCATGTACAAAAACACAACCAGAATCTCTGATGGGAAGAGCTGCAAGCCACATGGCCAAGGAGGTGGACAGAGCAGGAAGGAAAACAGAATTTTTGGCTCCAGGTCCTACATATAGCTTCTCACACTATGGGTCCCTGCGTATTTAATTGCTAGTAGAATAACTTTGGGAAAAAGATAGAGAAACAGATATACAGATGATAGATAGATACATAGATAGGTAGATACATGACAGATGGATAAATAGATATCAAAATGAGAAAGTCACTTGAGGAAAAGAAAAACTTGTAAATATTTTAATATTCTTTTGCATGCTATATATTATATACTGACCTCATTTAGCTTACACGTGGCTCTGTGTGTCCCTTTATACAAATAAGCTCTGCTAAGTAAGAATTTTCAACATTCCACTGACCAAGCAATGTACAAAAACACAGCCAGAACTTCCTGGTGCGAATAGCTATGGGTATATTCAGATTTAGTGTCTCTTTCACTGTAAGTTTTGGGTTTCTTTCTTATACTATCAGTGAAGAGACTAGGTTTTGCATGTATTACAAGTTTATTAATAGTTTTAAATTATAGATTACTATACAATTATAATTAATAAAATGGCAACATTCATAAAGCTAATTAAAATAAATATTATTTGTTATTCTTTCTCTTAAACTATACCACAACAAACTGGAAGAAATAAACAAATGTAGAGATTAAGTTTGTAGGGCTTGATTTTTAATACAAAAAGAACTTTTAATTCTCGTAGCATAGCTCAGTGCTGTAAAAGAAAAAATATAAGGATTATGTAAAAGATGAATGGATGAGTGAAATGATGCTGGATGACCAAGGTGGTACAAGTGCTGTACTCTATGATAATGAAACTGCCAAGGATTCTTATTTCTCAACTTATGGGTGGTTGTATGGTATGTAAAAATATTGTCCCTTCCAGTTTAGAAAAGGCCGGTGCTTTGCCCAGGATCCCATCCCTAGAAAGGGAGGGACACAGGTTACACAAAACATCCTGCACATCTGAGGTCATTGCTCTTTTCTTTGGCTAGCACTGTTCTGGTGTTTGAAAAGGTAGAAGGACATGACCTGACACCCAGGTAAATGGAACAAAAGTCAGAATTAGAAATACAGTGAACACTAGTACATGAATCTGCTTGAGTTGTCATAAAAAATGACACAGACTGCGTATTTAACAGAAATTTACTGTTTTAATTTTTTTTTTTTTTGCCTTTTTATTTTTATCAGTACTGGAGATTGAACTCACGACTGCCTGCTTGCAAGGCAGGCACTTATGCCGCTGAGCTAAATCCCCAGACCCCCAGAAATTTACTTTTTAACAACTCTGAAATTCTGGCCCAGCCCCAGATTAAGTAATTCATAGATTTGGTGACTGCAAACTCTTTGTGGTTTGGTGACAGTAGCTTCTCGTCCTGTTGCTGCCCGGCTTCTTCACTTTATAATAAGACTAGGAGTACGGCAAGAGAATCAGGTTTATTTTTCTTCCTAGAAGACTCCAGGTCCTATGGGAAGCTGCAAGACACCACCTGAAAGACCTTATTTAGTCTTAATTACCCCCTCATGGCTCTGTCATTAAGCACAAATCTATTGGGCATACTGGGCCTTAGGATTTGTATATGAATTTGGGAGGAGAATGTGTTTCAGTGTAGAAACACAAATCTCTTTTTTTCAAGATCTCTTTGAGAAAAGTGTTTTAACGGGGTGAAACATTTAGTATGTATTTACTCAGAAATACCATTTTCTACATATAAACCGAATGACTCTATAACACTTTATTTTTAACCTGTATTGTAACTAAAATGTACGGGATACATTTTCCTGTTTTTGTATTGCTGAAAGATAGATGCTTAAAACATAGTTGGCGATTATGGAAGTTACTGAAAACTTTTGCCTTTCGTCTTACAGGCCCAACAGCTTACGGATCTGGAGCAAAAACTAGCTGTAGCCAAAAATGAACTAGAGAAAGCCGCTCTCGACAGGGTGAGTTTATTCAGGAACCATCACACTTCGGTTTTAGCAAACAATGTGAGAGTACACTCATGGCACCCTTTGATTTATTAATGCAGTTTCAGATGCAATGCATGTAAGATGGTTATAGAATTCATGAATATTTGAGGGTCTTCTTGGATTGCAAATGTTCCTTGTGTTTGCTGCTACCATAAATTTACAAGTTTCAGTCCCTGTGGGTTCACAACACTTTTTACCTCACGATGACATTCTTTTTTGAAAACCATGAATAAACATGCATTAGGCATCAACTGAGATGTCGAGTGTTAATTTTGAATGAATGAGTTGGAAAGAAGCGTGAGCACTGATTGATATCCAATTGATATATCTGGTTTTTATATGTGTTTCTGAGACTGCTTGTTTGAATCTACTTGCAAGAAAGGGCAAAGGCATTCAGTGTAGTACTGCTTATGTTAAAAAAAAACAGGAGTAATTTAGCTTCTTGCTATTAGTACAATTAACTTATGGTTCAAATATTGTACAGGTACTTTGAAATAGCAATAAAATATATTTATAAACAAAAATTTTTATCAAAATACTGTTATATCTACATTATATAATGTGGAGTGAAATTCCTAATTATATGTATAATATTTAATGATTGTTTACTTATAAGGCACGTTTTTAAATTCTACTATAATGACAGATTAAGTAGAAAGATACACATCAAATTTGTAGATGGAATTATCTTTCCATAATTAGAGTAAAATTGTACTAGGAATGCTTACCAAAAAAAATCCACCTATTCCAACTTGTGTTATCTTCCAGAAATTGTGCAGATAGAGAAATCTTTAGTTCATATAAGCACATATATGTATTTTGCATATAACAATGAATCATACATGCTTGGAAATATACATTTGAAACATGCAATAAAGTTTACAGCACATATTAATACACTACATGTAAGTATGTATATGTAATATCAGATGAATTTCATACAATTATATTAAATATAGCAAAAATATATTACATATTAAAGCTACTGCTTTTAAAATCGAATATTTAAATCAGACTTCTATTAACTCACATTCATCATTTTCTTTTCTATATGCCCCAATATTTCTCTAAATCTATTTAATCAAGGAAGTTATTCTGTCTGCTGTCATTTTTTGTGATCATAGCTTAGTATTAATTTTAGTAAGTTAAATAACACATGTGCATTTATAACCTTCTTTTGCAGTAATATACTCTACGTATTCGGCAAGTTTGTAAAGAAAAGTGTTGCTTTCTACTTAGAAATTTGTGCCAGGGGTTAATTTGCAAGAAGAGAAAAGAAAACAATGTTTGAATGTTGATTTTTTTGAGCTATTCTTAAATGGCATTCACTAACCACCTGTTACTGTGCAGTGGTGTTTAAGGGTCAAACTGAAATTATACTTCTGAAAGATTGGCATCTTTCTCACTTTGGCATACCTCTTTACTCTGATAACAAAAACTTCACAACTAAGGTAGCAAACATAGTAGAGCGAATATCTAGATAGTCTTTGATTAAGTGTGTTACTATGAACATTTCATGGGTGTTGATGATTGTATTTTGTTAGATTTAGAGCCTAGTGACACAATGAGCTTTTGATTGAATAATTTAATAATAACTTGACTCCTTTGAAATTGCCACATTTAAAATAATTTGTCATTGACTTTTAATGGGTTATTGATTAACATTAATAGATTGTTGGTGGATATTTGATGGACAGTGTTTTGTAGGATATTGAAAAGATTTTTATTACCAACAATTTAGTTTCATTAGGTTATTTTATTTTACAGAAAAGAATGTGTGTCAATGTATGCTAACCTTTGACCTCATCCCACTCATACAATACGATGTATCTTTTTTTTTTTTTTTTTTTTTTTGTCTTTTTTCCTTTTTATTGGTACCAGGGATTGAACTCATGACTGCCTGCTTGCAAGGCAGGTGCTTATGCCACTGAGCTAAATCCCCAGCCCTGATGTATCTTTTTAAAAAAGTTTTTCCTCTTTCTAAAATTGGCCGAATCAGGAATCCAGAGGCGTATACAACCCTAAAGTTCACCTAGACCACCCTTTGAATAAAGCTCTTCTCTCTCACCCTTCCCATCATCTCTGCTGCATGATTTACATCCTAAAAAGATGTTGAATTCCCATGATCCTGGCAGGGTCTGATGAGCTCTGAGTTTTTATCGTCTCTGACTATTAAAGCACTATCTTACCTGAAATGTTTTGTCTAATGTAGCTTCATAAATTCTTTTAATTAGTCAAAGGTTAACTAGTTTTGAAGGTTTTGTTTTTTTTTTTTTTTTTTTTTTTTTTTGCAGGACTCCCTTTTGTTAAGTTCATGACATATAGAAAATATATGAGACATAACCTTGGCTCATATCCATGCCATAGTATTCTTGGGCAACAACAACTGAGTTAAGTTGTACACTGAGCCATGGTCCACGGGATACTATAAGCATAGAGAATAAATGTTTATATTAATATGCAGAGCATATGTCTAGTCATAGAGGGCAGAATTTATTAATACATCATAATTTGCTCAGAGTCACAGAATTCATGACCAATGTACAGCATTTCTCTATTTCTGAGTTTTGTGCTTTCCTCTTCCTCAATTCCACCTTCTGCAGACATCATCAAGTAGCCGTGCATCTCGGCCATCGTGTAGATTTTGGAATGAGGAAGCACTGTGTAGCAGATGTGCATAAGTTTCCCAGCCCAGTCTTCCTGGAATCCTACCATGGCACAGCTGCTCTGTTTAATTGCTGTATTCAAAACCCTCAATCTCCTCAAACACTCATGGGACCTCTACTACCACCTTTTTTGTTAAGAGTGATGACAAGGGAGAATTATGTACATCAAAAGATGAAAGCACTAAGACACTGTTGGACAGATCAGTTATTACTGCTATAGGAAGATGAGTTCACACAGACCCACTTTTTGCTTGTCTTTTGTATTTTGTTTTCTTGAGACAAGGTCTTGCCTTGTGGTTCAAGCTGGCCTTGAACTCACAATATAGTCAGGCTGACCTCAAACCTCCCCAGTGCTAGGATTACACGCAAGTACACCCCCATCTGGCAACAATTCTCTCTTTACCCTTTAGGATTTTTGTCACTGTTTTTTTACCATGGACTATAAAAGCGTTTAATATGGCAGGGTCCATTTCCAAAAACCTCCTGCCAGATGCATATGAGGCACATAAGCTGTAGCCAAGTCAGGTTAAATTTGCAGCTCACTTCAAGATGAATTAAAAATGCAGTTTAATGAGATCATACTTCTCCTCTCTCCATCATCTTTCTATGAGAATTGTTATTCTCTTCAGGTCTCTAACTCCTAAGACCATTATATCATGGCTTAAAACAGCCTTCAGTAACCCATCAGCAGCATGAAGTCTACATCCCACCTTGGTTATTCTGGCACAATTAATGAAAGAGGGCTTTGTTTACTACATAAACAATAACAATCTGAAGATCTAAGAATCAACCTTAAGTTTACAAATAATCAATTGTTCATTTGGCAATACATTATTAATTAGAACCAGCATTAATTGCTGGGATTTAAAAAGGATTTATGGCCTAGGAGTCTCTTAAAGTTTCACTTAAAAGTTTGCAGGGTGTCTGACTGTAACAAGGTATCATCCAGGAAATGACAGTGCCAGGGACAACTTCGTAGAATACCGAGTCTAAGGAAAAACAGGTTGAAAACTGCCTTTCAAAGCATAATAGAAATATACAAAGTTGTAAATTATAGCCCATTGTCACAAGAAAAAAATGTATTATTTTCTGAGAAAAAATACTAACACGTACACGTTAAGTTACTTTATATACCTCTCACAATCCTAAATCACACATACCAATAATTTCTCATATGCATTCCATACTATTCAACAATTATGCGAATAATTTGGATCTGAGAAAATAATTTTCTCATATACATAATTCAAAGTATAATATAAAAATCACTTCATTATTTTTCTCTGTAGAAGGACAGTAACCTCTATCTTCTTGTGAATTTATTTTTTCATTTAACAAAAAAAAATTGAATTAGATACTGGTAATGATGCAACAAATATACCAACCTTCAAAGGTATTGCATCTGAGATGGTGATTTCACATGGTGACGAGGCCTAAGTAAGACACAAATTTAGGAAGATGTTAGAGACATTAGCAAAATGTCAAATGTCAAAATGCTTCTTGGGAAGCTTGGTCAGGATCTGTTTTCAAGAAGATAATCCATGAGCTTATTGTGTGAGTGTTTAAACTGAACATTTAAGGTTCTGTAGGCACAGGAAACTGATCTCACAAATGTTCTAAGATGAGAATGAACTTGGGACAATTGAAAAGCTATAATAAGGGACACTGAGAAATCAGCATCTTAGGTAAGGAGTTTGCAATTTATTAGCACGTGGCAAAACAAGTGAGAAAAGTGTCTTGTAAAGCCAGGTGTAGAGAGCCAAAAATAAGATAGACCTTAGAATAGAATAAACTTTAAACTCTCGGGGAAAGTACACTAATCATAGTTACATGCCAATTCATTAAGGAGCCTCTTGTTCTAGCAGACTTCAAAGTGATCAGCTTTGAATTTGAATGTCCCTAACACTACAAATGAAAATGCAAAGGCGTTATGGTGTGTAAAATCTTTGTCTGGGTCCTGCTCATGAAATTGAAGTGACCCACATCTGAGTAGGACCAGCCACAGGCTCTAGTAAGTTAAGAGGGACTTACTGGAGGTTTGATAGAAAAATGACCATGTGAAGGCAGGTTGCTCACAGTAATCCAGGGTCTCTGGAGGAAAAATTTCTAATGCAATCCAGGAATTCAGCTAGAATCTAGGAGATCACAAGGCAGGCTTGTAGTGCAAAGAAGATAAACTGGAATGGAAAGGTTAAGAATAGGTTAGAAAACAAGAGCACAGTGAGTATTATAGCCAGGAAAGACACGGGACAGAGAATTCATCTTGTAATGTTGACACTGCTCATCTGGGTTTACGGTGGCAGGGTCAGGTGGCCTGCAGTAGAAAAGGATTGCACTCAATGTCAGATAATTTAAAACCCAACATACATGTACACTCCCTTCAGTTTGCATTGAGAAAGTGTCTCGCCCAAACTGTATTTACTGCAAATGTGTCTTTGAAAGCATTTAGCTTGATGGTGTTCATTATTCTGAACATCTCAGTTCAGCTGTTACATTCAGAGACATCCCTATCACACGTGTGCTTCAGGTCGTTCCCAGAATCTGATCTTAGCCACCAGCCTTAAGATCAGTCACGACAAACTGCAGTAGACTCAACAAATGCCATTGTTCCCTGCGTGATCTGAAGATTGAAATCCAACGTTTCAAAACAGTATAAATTTTAGCACTTAGCCAAAACCTGCCTGATTCTGGTGCATTATTCCTTTCACTGTTTTTGAATGAGAAAACACTTTCATAGCTCAGTGCAATCTGTGTTATTTAACTCTTAAATTCTCAGTGTCACAGCCCAGGATCATGGAGAAATATAAGAGAAGAGTCTTTTAAGATTGGCATGATGCCCCAAGAGAAAGCTCATCAGAACCAATTCTGCGTTTCTACTTGGCTTTGGAAATATGTTTCTTTTACTACATGCGGAAATAATATTTTCACTTAAGTTTTCTTAAGTTTTTTTATGCCAAATCTGTTTGCTGATCCCTTCCAATCCCTTGCTGATACCTTCAGGAATTGTGTTAACTGTTGAAAAATTTAGACACAAGTGTATATACATGCACACACACATATATCAATGTACATACACAAAATTGGTGATAAATTATATAATGGAAGCAAATACAATCAATAATAAAACTAATGGAATAGGGAAGAGGCAAGGATCGAATAATAAAGCAAACATATCCAAGGTCCATTTTTGTTTAGTAAAATTGCAATTCTTAAATGTCATCACTGAACTTTGGCACTTCCCCCACACTAACCAACACTCCTCCACCCTAGTATTATAAGCTTCTTATTTCATGTTAGATAACTTGACAGAGCAACAATAATGAGACAGAAATGCATGCCTGTCTCATTATCCACACAAGTACATTGTCAGTTGTTTGTATCCTAATGCTTGAAAAAAGTCTCCTTATTCAAATGAGAGATTTCTGAGTTGATATTGCCTCAGTAAACACTCTTATCTTAAAGGCAAACATGAAGAGAAGAAAAACAAACAAACAAACAAAAAACAATGTCAGGCTTTAGGAAGGCTGCAGGTGAACTGTTCAAGGAGGGCTCTTTTATAAGGAAATGGTAAAGAGGAGAGTTTGCTGTACAAACTTATGTTCCTGGCACAGTATATAAAATACATTTGCTTGCCTAGCTAGAAAGGCAAATCATATCTCGCTGCTTCACTGATCCATGCATGCACCAAAGCATAAATTTCATGTGTTCCAATTTGTCCTTTGAACTGGGCTCCTGTCATCTATCTCTTTCAACTCTTTTGTGGTCAGAAGGCAACATGCTATGTCCTAAATGGATGTTAACATAGAATTAATCAGTTCATGTCCCAATTATTCCTTAACCATTAGTTTTCCTAAAGGTTTTATATGTCTCATCAGTTTAGTGATGGAATTTTTGGGATCATTTGTACCAAACTTTTTATTAATCTTGCTAGCATGAAATATTTTTAAAAGCTGAAAGGGATGACTGATGGAAGTTAGAGACAGTTTTCTACCTTCAGCCTGCCCTAGGATCCAAATCTCAAATCCTGTGAAAACTTTGACTTTCCTTTTTGTATAGTAAATAGCAATATGAATGCCACTTTCACAAGTTTTAAAAGCACCAAATTATTCCTTGCATATGCAAATGCGTGGATTATTGGCATATGCCCATGCAGGTAGCTGTTTCTATTCTCAGTTCAGGTTAAATTCCATTACCTAAGAAGGTGCAAAGTCCTGTCAGAAATGCATCTCTGCTTCCAAGGATATGGGGAAACAAAGCAGCAACAGGGTAAACTAAGAAGTCTAGGGGCCTCGAGTATGTTATTTTGCAGCAAATCATTGTGATTGAAATCGAAGTGAATAAAGATTTATCTGTCTCCCTCCCCTTCCCCTCCCCCTCCCTCTCCCTCCCCAGGAGTCACAGATGAAAGCAATGAAAGAGACTGTGCAACTCTGTCTGACTTCAGTTTTTCGCGACCAACCTCCACCTTTGAGTCTGATCACCTCCAACCCATCTCAGCTGTCAGGCCCGCCCAGGGCAGTTGCTGTGAAGATTCCAGAAGCAAGGACAAAAAGTCAGGTACCTTTTATTCTCATTTGGAAGGTAATGTTAGGAAAAGTGAAGTGTTTGGAAGGACATTCTTTGTGTCTAGGACATAAACTTCACCGAAAGATGTAGAAGGATCTGGGCGTCAACCAATTTGAAAAAGTCCGACATCTTTCAGAGAACACTGGAACACCGTATTTTCATAGCAGCTTGGTTTTCTTAGGCAGGGGCATATAATTATTAAAGTTATAACAAAATGAAACAAACATTTAAAAATATAGTATTTTATATTACATTCCACCATGCAACACAAAGTTTGATAGTTTCTTTTTGGGTTTATCTGTCATCTTTACAAAACAACTTTTAAAAATTAAGTTCTTCTACAAAACAAAGGGGACTGAGAGATGGAAGTGGTGAAGAAATCATCAAGATGTGGACCTGGACCAATTCCCCACGAGGAGTGAAATCACTAGGTACTGCAGACATTTACCAATGAAACTGGAATTTAATGAAACCCATTAAATTCTGCCTATAACTATGGCATCTTGGAGGCCGAGGAACAAAGATCACAGGTTCAAATGGAGCCCAGGCAGCTTAGGGACTTAGAGAAAACCTGTCTCAAATTTAGGGGAAAAACACACTGGAAATGAAGATCAGTGCAAAGCCTCAGCTTTAGTCTGTAGTGACAGGCACACACACACACACACACACACACACACACACACACACCAGTGATAGAGAACAAAAACAAGGTCTTCTAATGATCTTATAGCAGCTGCACATTACAGTTATACACAGAGGATTTAAAACAAAATCCAGGACAGCAACGTATCTAGTCAGTCATTTAATAGCCCAAATGCCCAGCAACCGTAGAATGGATTTTAAAAAGGTGATATTTTTACGCAGTGGAGTATTACTCACTATAAAGAAGGAAAACTTGAGGCTTTTATATTTAAATAGAGGCAACTTGAGAACATATGTGTTAGTGACACAAATCAAACTCACATTTATAAATATTGTATTATCTTTCTAGTGTAAAATAAAAGGAAAAAAAAACTAAAAAATAAGATTCACAATGTAGATGTTTTGATAATGAAGGGAAAGGAAGTGCTCAAAAGGAAAGAACTGGGATAGGGTAAAGGAGAAAAGGAAGAGGGGAAAATTTACATATATAGGTAAACATGTATAAATATATATATATATATATATATATATATATATATGAAATACAGATAACTATAATACTAACCTCTGTTAGTTCACCAAAAAGAATAGTTTGTGCTTTCACTGTTTGATTTTTTGATCGTTTTTTTTTTTTTTTTTTTTTTTATGCCTGAATGTTATAACCTTAGCCACTGCTTCTGGGATAACAATGTGTAATATATTAACCACTATTAATTTCCTACCGTTTATTCAAATACTGTGGAGTTTCTATCTTTTTTTTTTTCCTTTTGAAATAATAAAAAAAAGAAAGGTGCTTTAAATCTAGACAGTGGAAATCATTTTGAGAAGAAGAACTTCTAGTTTCAAGCAGGAATTTGGAAAGAGCTGTCTCTCTGAACACTTGATTTTAAAGTGAGTCGTGTGGAAACAAGCCGGGCTCCCACCTACAGGTCCAGGCGAGCCTTAGAATCCCAAGGCCACTGAAGGATGGAGGCAGGCAGTAGCTGGTGTGGAAGGCTGGGCACTTGCATGATGCTTGCTGTTGAGATTCCCTGTTTTTGAAGGACAGAGGAGTTCAGAGGCGTTTGTGGATTAGGGAAAGGCTACTTTCACGATGGAGACTCGAAAACAAAGATGGCAAAATAAGCCATGTAATATTCTCTTTTAGTCTGCTACTTGTCAGTTTATGAATGGATTTTTTTAATTCATATATAATATCACTATGGGTTACTAACAAATTGCCTTGCAAAAGTCATTTAAATTATTTCCATTCTACTGTATTATTATCTTGGGCCTTTTTATGGATTATTTTTCTCTTTCGGTTTTTTTTCTGCTCTTTCTCTGAAAATCTAATTTCTGTGTTTATGTATGTAACCAGACTCAAGTGAGAAAAGCACATGACCGTGTGTTGCTCTGTGTTCACCTTGAAGAATCCTGGGTCGCTTCCAGGCAGGTGATGAAATGCGCAGCTCCCCACAGGCCCTCAGCCACACAGCCTGGAGCTGACTCCTGAGCTGACGCACAAGGCATACAGAGCAGTTCAGTCCCCTTCAATCTAAAGACATCGGGCTGAAGGCTTTGCAGTTCTATGAGTGTGTCCCATTTGACTACAACCCAGCCTGTGTTTATTAAACTCATTATCAAAACTGGGTTCTTTTTAACTCTGAATACTTAGAGAAAATTAGTAATTTTTCCCTGATTTTCTGTGAATCAATATATCGCCTGTCACTGAGTTCAATAGCTATTTAGTATTTCTCTTGGCTAATCAAAGAAAATGATAGAGTGTTCAAAGGAGACAGCCTTGGAAATGGACACATTTTCAAAAACAACAGACTCATCCAGTGATCTAAGATGATGCTCTGGAGATCTGAGTTAATGTGCTAGACAGCATCCTGCTTTAGAGGTTAGTATGGAAAGCTTGTCTCCTGCCTTGGTTTCCCCATATTTTTATCCTCTTCATAGTGGCAGAAATTCTATTTATGCTTGGAGTTTAATCTCTGGGCAAGCACCTCACATATAATATCTTTCAAATCCTGAGTATCAGACCAGGGGCCAAGGGCTGTCCTCTGACCTCCATGCACACGGCTGCTCCTTCCCCACACCCCATCTCAGGGAGGCTCTGGGCAGTAGTATAGGAATGAGGGGCTTTTTTCCCTTAATTTTCCAAGGTCTCTGGGCAGTCAAATTTCCTTTCATTTGGTATCCACTATTTTCAGTCCTTCTTTAAAGCAAAGTTTGAATGTTTGTTTTTCCAAAATCTGTAAAACAGAGTTAAACAAAAAGTACAGTTGAATATAGAAAAAGATAGAGTGAAGCTGGGCGTGGTGGCTCATGCTCTTAATCCCAGCACTCAGGAGGCTTGAGGCAGGAGGATCACTGTGAGTTTGAGACCAGCCTGGGATACAAAGTGAGCTCAAGGCCAGCCTGAACTGCATAGCGAGACCCTGTCTCAAAAAGACAAAAAAAAAAAAAAAAAAAAAAAAAAAAAAAAAAAAGGAATGGCTTCCACAAAATACTGACTTTGTTTATTCAAGGATATTGGCAGCGGAGGTGAAATTTTCAGTACTGAACTCAAATGTTTGTCTTTGTATTTGTGTAAATGAATACATATACATGAATAGTATCACATCACATCTACATAGGTAATATATGCATATATTCGTATATACTTGCACACCTATATACCTATATCTATATTTATACAGTGTATTTAAAAGGCAGCATCTTTAGAGGGTGAGCTAAAAATTAAAAGAGTGGAGAGTTAAAAATTAAAATTAAAAGACTGGAGAAAACTTGCAGATAAATTGGGCTTTGAAACCCATTCCTCCCTTATGCTTGAGGTTTACCCTGGAGCTTGCCTGCTAATCTGTGAGTCCTGCAGCATATTTTCCTGCTGAGCAGCCTCAAGCCTAGCAGTTTCCTTTCTACCATTACATTTTCCGTAGTTACTATGCCTGCTTCTGTCTGATTTCAGGGAACTTTTTCTTACAGTTCTAGTAAAAATTAGGTCCCTCCATTCAGTGTTCTGAGAGTGAACTGCTCACTGCTCTTAGACCCCGGTCATCCATTGCACACTCTACAGCTCACCATCCCTTAGGAAAATGACTCTGATGAGCTCATCCATCCAGAATAACGTTTCTTGGGGACTCATTTGATACCATAGGTTCCCTTCCTACTAGTGTTTCTCCAAGTCTAAAAGGTAGAAGAGTTTATATTACTGCTTATTCAGTGTTTTGCACTCAACCTAGTGTTCTCTATGTTTGTGTGAAAACTGAGTTGCTCACAGAAGTAACATATTTAATCTGCATATCCTCACATATGGGATGTTATAATGTAACTGAGTGTTTCTAGGAAACTGGAATACTGCAGAGTATATTCTGGGTAGTAGACTAATCTTTTATTTTTTCATTTAATTTTTTTTAGCATGTAGAATTCTATATTCCAAATGGATTTAATTAAATGCTAAGAACAAGGGAATACTTTGTTCTAAGTGCACACAAATTAGTGTTTCTGTGACACCTGTGTGAAGAGATAAGTATATTACTTTATAGATAATCATGTTTCCAACAAGAGGTAAAGAGCAAAGGTATAAATGAGGAGATCAGATTTGTATTGTGCAAATAAAATGATCCTAACTAAGATAGAAACAAGCCAATCAGTGACAATCTACCTCATTGGTCTATGCAGGAAACGATAGTGACCTTGGCTATGGTGCAAAATCTGGACACAGGGTCCCAGATGTTACTGAGCCATAATCCTGTCTTTTATGGGATGCTTGAAAGGAGGGGGCCAAGAGTGACACTAGTGTCTACATCCTTTCCTCGGAGGAGTGGAGTTACAAATGGAAATTCATATTGGTTTTAAACTAAATTTTTGGTCTTTGTCGTAAGATGAAGTATCTAAGTATCAGTAGGTGATTATGCATTTTAATCTGCAACTCAGTGAAAACAATCAAGTATTTGAAATTATCACCATAAATTTCAATTAAATGGTAAAAATAGAAAAAATATATGAAGAGATTGTGCTGAGTACAAAGAGATGAAAGACACAAAAGACCCCAAATATGAAAAATAATTAGGAATGATTTTTCAAGTAACCTAAGAGACTGAAGGTTTAGGGTGAAAACACCTCCCTGCGCCTTGTCCTTGGCTGCGGTCCCTTGAGTCTTCCTTGCCCGTGGTCATGGAGGTGCATGTTTTGGGTGACTGGACCCAGATTCATACATGCGCCTGTTAAACCCGAGCATTATTAAAAATTCACTGTACATGCCTGTAATTAAATAAGTTTCACTAAATGCAATGTAGAAAATATCAGAAGCTACCACAAAGTTCTATTCTCTCTGTTCTTAAAGACAACATGCCATCCTGGGA